AAAAAACAGTAACCCTGGAACCAAGAAATTCAGCAGCCCCCCACCCCGAAGGATGAACAATGTAAGACTGGCTGAGTAACTGTGGCCGTTTCTTTCCACACCCCTTTGGAGCACACATCCAGACTCATTTTTTGTTGCAATCTTTAGAAGTGCACCATTAGAGTCTTGATTTAACAAAAATAACCTTTTGATTGGCCAGGAAAGAAAGTTTGAGAAAATAAAAGTATGAGAAATAGCCTTGGAGACATGCATTTGTGAGTTGCCACAGTGGAGGCAGGCAGGAAACTGCAGAGCACGTCAGAGGCTTAAGGAGGGACAGAGGTTCAGAGGGTGTTTGACATCAAAGACATTTTATTTGCTTATAATATTGGTCCAGGTCCAACCTCCCACCCTGGGTCAGAGGAAGAAATGTTTCTTCTCTCCTCTAACACCACAGAACCACCTCCTCCCAACACCCACTATCAGGGTTTCTGCACTTTTCATGACCTGGCCTAACGCCATTGAATTAAATGAGCTTTCCAGGGAGGAACCTGGAAAGAAAACCACCTTTTCTTCTGTAGTTTCTATGCAAATGTGTGCTTTGAAGTGCATTCCAATGTATTTGTGCATGTGTGTGCACACGTGTGTGTGGGTGCCCATGGAGGCCAGAGGATGTCACCAGATCCCCTGGAACTGGAGTTACAGGTAGTTGTGAGCTACTTGACTTGGGTGCTGGGAACTGAACTGGGGTCCTCTGCAAAGGCAGAACCTATTCATAACTATTGAGCCATCTCTCCAACCCTGGGACTAACCCTTCTTAACTTGGTCTCCCTCAAGCCATCACTGACTTTCCACTTCTCCCAGGGTTTGCCAATGGGAGAACTGCTGCAAAGTTACGTTAATAATAACAATAACAATAATTTCAAAGCTCTAATTTTAATCAACTAGAAGGAGGTAAATGCTTTTATAATGCTAGGATTATTAAACATCAGACATGTTCACAAGCCTTATTGATGGGGAAGGAGTGTCAGAAGCTCGCTGTACATACAACTTTGGCTAAGAAGGGCTCTTATAGTTCTTTTCATCAATGGCTGCCACCAAACAATCCCAGCCCCCCGCCCCCCCAGTGCAGTCACACTGGAATAAAATACTAAAATTACCACCACCAACAGCACTTTGCTTTTACCCCAGATCTATTTTGACTAGCAGCCTGCAACTGTTTATAGGGAGGGAATGGGGTGTCAGCCTTTCTGTACCTGATGTGCATTTTAATAAGCCACCTGGCAAGATCAACAGGAAGCAAAGAAAAATTGTGAACAAGTGTGAGGGAAGAAGACTGTCCTGCCTCTCCAGGCACTCTTAATCCAGTCACCACATTGTTCTGCTGACAGGACCCCCTGGCTTTTAGCAGCGGCTCTCCCCTAGTGTGGGCTCTGATAAAAGGAAGCTAAAGTCTAAAATTAAGTCTCCTGTGCCTTTGACAGAAGGGAATCTGATTTCAGTATGACTGTCTCACTGTCATAGCCCAAAATTCTGAATCCATCCACGCTGAGTCCTGCTGAGGAGGGTCTTTCCCCCTGCCTGCATTGCCATGGAAATCCATGACACTTCTGTTGATGAGTTTTCTGTTTGCAGATGGGTATCTTCATTCCCGGCACCAGCCTTTACAGAAATTTGACAGAATGTTTTTTAACTATTTGCTTTATACAAATTGTGGCTTCTCAGATGACCTTGTTGGCTTTTTTTTGTCTTATGGCAGGATGGATTTTGTACAGTGTATTGTGTAAGTAGTAACGATAGGCTGAGCCTTGTAGTCTTGGATGTTTGCTTTTTCTTTCTTTGTACACAGTCACATTTATGTTGCCCTGACACTGCCCTGGCCAACCAACCAGGACTGTTAATGACACATTCAAACCTGTCTGCTTTCTAAATTGGTGGGCCTTCTGTCTTGATGGAAAACAAAAAGCCTGTGTTTGAAGTAATGCTATTTTGAAAGTCATGTCAAGGGAGCTTTTCCATTTCATTGGAGAAAAATACTAATAGTTTATCTATTACTTTCAATTCATTGTGGTCCCTGGAGTCTAAGAAAATGAATGAATATTTGCCAGGCTCTTCACAATGTGATTGCACTGAACTGTGAGTGGCAGATGGGAGAGGGCAGTGGGCAGGGGAAGGTTGGTCATTTAGGGGGAGCCCCTGTGCTGTGCAGCGTTCAGAGGGCCATCTGTGTCTTTTAGAAGTCTCTGTTCATGTCCTATAATGCTGTGTGATCTTCCCTATCCTGTTTTGTTATATGAGGTTTGGCCTCTTTCAGACAAAGTTATAGGAACTGCTGGAATTGTGATGTCTATATACATACACATAATCATGTATGTTCTATTGAATCATTGAAGACTTACCGGAAGTAACCGAGAGTGCAATTGTTCAGTTAAACCTTTGTAATTATGACAGTATGCCTTGATTTACAGCCGATAATGCCTCAAACTAAAGTTGAATAGCCCATTTTTAATTTTTTATGGTTTTACCTTTGTTTTTATCTCTGTGATTATATTGGAGACATAATTGTGTCAGTTCTTTTAAAATTAGCAATGTTTTTCCAGTTTATGAGTAAACAATCCTTAATTAAATGTGTTGATATTATTAACTTTTCTTTTTTTTCATCCAAATACCAAATTGGAGTTTGAAATTCCCTTGTTTGTTTTTCTTTCTGTTTTTAAGATTTTGAAGGGATTTTTCTCTTTTTTAATGTGCACAAGTGTTTTGCTTGCATGGATATAAGTGAACCATGTGCATGTAATACCCAAGGAGGTCAGAAGAGGGTGCTGGATTTCCTGGAACTGGAGTTATGGATGGTTGTGAGTTGCTGTATGCATGCTGGGAACCAACCCTGGGTCCTCTGCAAGAGCAACCAATGCTCTTAACCACTGAACCATCTCCCCAGTCCATTGTTTTTCACTTGAGACTGGGTCTTGTGGTGCAGCCCAGACTGATCTCATATTATTTAGCATAAGCTGCCCTCAAACTTGAGGTCTTCCTGCCTCATTCTCCTATATGCTGGGATTACACACATGGGCTACCACACCAGGCTATGAAATTCTTTTACATTGTAATTGTAGATAAGAATTCATTGATTGACTTGTGAATTTTAGACTTGGAATTCCCTCATACTGGACCCTCAAATTCCTTCAGAGAGAATTCAAAATGGAGCAGGGGAGATGGCCCATTTGGTAAAGTACTTGCCACACAAGTATTAGGACCTGAGTTCAGATCCTCATCAGTGTTGTACAAAGCCAGGTGAGGGGTTGTACTCCTGTAGAATCCCACTGCTAGGTAGAGCTTGCCAGCCAGCCAGTCTAGCTGAATCGGCAAGCCCCAGTTTTAGTGAAAGACCCCGTCTCAAAAAATGAATGAAAGAGGAAGACACCTGACATGGACCTCCAGCCTTCACATTGCATGCACATGAACCTACACACACACACACACATACACGTACGCACACCACTCATGCACAAACACACAAAAGAAAGAAAAAAAAAGTGGGATCAACGTCTACCTTGAATTGTCAGGTGAAAAGAACACTAGGCAACTTAGTCACAAACATTGGGTCTTTATGCACATACATAAAAATATATTAACTTCATAAGAATGATAATTTTAGGGGCTGGAGAGATGACTCAGCAGTTAAGAGCACTAGCAGCTCTTACCGAGGACCCAGGTTCGATTCCCAGCACCCACATGGTAGCTAACTACCATCAGTAACTCTAGTACCAGGGAATCTGACACCTTCTTCTGACCTCTGCAGGCATTGCACGACATGGGTGCACTTAAACACACATACACATAAAATGCACATACATATAAAATTTTAAAAGTAGGTGTGACTTTGAGTCCTCTTTTGTCCAACTTGTGGGAGAGATAAGTCACAGAAATTAGGGAGTTAGAAAATGTCATCAAACTGCCTTGATTATTATATATAGAGTCACATTTAAGAAAGACAGCTGTCTATCACTAAGGAAGTTTATATTTCAGTTTTAGGAGCTGTAACTTCAGTTTTAGAGGCCATATTTTTACGGCCTATTTTTGAGAACGATGACTATATTCTTTAAAACCTTTTTACCGGGCTTTTAACCTCTGAGCCATCCCTCCACCTCCAGTCACACCTATTTTTGAGCTTAATGTACACAAGTCCTTTCCTTTTGACAGGCATCTGATGAAAAATGTCATCTTTGTCTTCACCAATCTCTGTCCTAGAGGAGAACTTTGGTTGCAAGCTTTCTTGAGTTTGTCCTTTGCTGGATATTGACGTTGGGAGCCATGTCTTCCCTCTGGCTTTTGCCAAGTCTAGGTTCCATTCGTAGCCCTTTGTACTCTCCAACCTTGGGGGATATACCAACTTTTTTACAACTAGGTGCTATTGTGGCTCTTTGTACATGTGGCTTTAGAGAGAGATTAAAGTACAGATGTGTGGTAACTACAGACTCCTCGAATTTAATTGAAGAGCTACAAAAAGAAAATATTCAGGTTCTGCTTGTTTATATCTGCTTATCAGTGCAACTCCTTAGTTATGAATAGTTCTTTGTTTTTCCAAAGGGAAATTAAGGTATAAACATGTAACTGAATATTGCTGCTATAAGCACTTTGGACAAATATTCTCTTGGGGATTAATGAGAATATTCCCCTCGGGCCAGTACGTGGTGTTTTCTGGTATGTCTAGGTTCCCGATAGTTTGTAGAGGTAGAGTGACCTGCTTCCTCTTGGTGTTGCTCACTGTGAAAGGTCTTGGGTGACGGGTTAACCGCATTCAGGGAACTCAGCCTTCCAGTAGACAGAGAAGAGCACCTAGGACAAAGGTCCCAGGATGCCCATTTGCACTTCTTCCAGATTCTACCACATGAGCCATGTTGTGTAAGGGCTAGAGGAGAAAGAGTCTAATACGCTGTACACTTTGGCTTGGCTAGCTGGCGCCTTTCTGCCACTGTGGATGATTCTAAGGTGTGTTTCCCTTCTTTTTTGTCACTCAGATGAGTATAGGATCAAACCAGTGGAAGAGGTCAAATACATGAAAAATGGGGCAGAAGAAGAGCAGAAAATAGCAGCCAGGAACCAAGAAAACCTGGTAAGAAATGAACTCTACTGACAGTAACTTACGGTGACAATATTGTGAGAAAAGCTGCTTTGCATGTTGGAGCTGCAACTTACAGGCACCAGATTTCTTGAAAATGCTACAGCTATTATTAGCTTGCCTGGAAGCTGTACCATTACCCTGTATCCTGTTTGTCGCTGAGTAAACCCCTTTTTTAATCTTGATAAGGAATACTCCAGGGGAAAATACAGCAAAATCATTAATGTTTTTAAAGCACCGCTCTGAAGGGAGAAAAAAGCACAATGTAGGATTGAGATGTAAGGGGAGATTTTTTTCCTCCTCCGCCTCTTAATTCTTATTCAGGTCAGGATGAACAGTAAGTTTCATTATTCGAGAAGTGTAATGAGGAAGTTGCCTTTCAATGGAAAATTGTGCCTTCTAAAGTAGGTCTCCATCCAAAGAGGGTGTTCTTCACATTCATACCTTGAAAGGTATTGTGGATTTTAAATTAATGTGAGAATTGTAATGATATGAAATAGAAAGTTAGGGACTTCTTTCTTTATTGCAAATCACTATACACATTCTTTAACAATTTACCTCTATAAAATATTTAGCTAATTATTAGATTGATTTTTAAGAGGTTAAAATAGTTAAGAATGTACATTTAATCATATTTTGGAGCTAAAATGGTTAAGAATGTACATTTAATTTTATTGGTGTAAAATGCTTTTTATTCATATTTTGTATATATTTTATTTTTACATTATTTACTTTTGTGACTGAGTAAATCTATTTTTAAAGATTTATTTATTCTTATGTGGATGAGTGTTTGCATATGTATATGTATGTACAACATGTGTGTGTCTGGTGCCTAAGGAGGCCAGAAGAGGGTGTCAGACACCCTAGAACTGGAGTTACAGGCAGTTGTTAGCCACTGTGTAGGTATTGGGAACTAAACCCAGGTCCTCTGCAAGAGCAGCCAGCACTCTTAACTGCTGAGCCAGCTCTCCTACTCCAAGTAAATGTATTTCTAAGAACTTTGTATATTGTAAAGTATTTTTACATCACTTACACTCCTTTTCTTATATACTTTGTTCTTACTTTGGTGACTTGCTACAGCAGTAGGACTTGACAAAATATTAACCAATGTGCTCATGAGTACTTATGACTGCCATTTTCCACGAGAATTTAGTGAATATTAGAGGCTATAGTTGATTTTGCTTCATTCTGGCTGAATTGTATTTTCTGTGACCACCCTCACTCCTTCACAAGGCCAGACAGTCAGGGTCCAGGCTGCCAATGTAAGTTTTCAAGTGTGCTTAGAAATGGAGAAGAGGTAGCTGTCTTTGATTCTGAAATTATCAGACTGTTTTCCAAAATTAGAAATGATTTTCAATTATCTGTTAGTATGTTAGCCACTCCACCCCCTTTGATGCATAATCAAGTATGGATCATGCATGTTGTCTGAAAGAAATTAATAACTTCTTAAACCCGAAGCTTACATTGTAAGGTAGATGAAACAGACTTTACTTTTCACAACCTTTAAAATAGTCTTGAGTCAGGAAGTTCTTATGTTTCAAACAAAATGACTTTAAGATATGTTAGTTTTTTTTAAATATTTCATTTTTCTTGAACTATTCAAAATTTCTGAGAGATTTCTAAGTGAACACTTCGAGTTATTGCCAGTGTTAAATGTATGTTGAAGACTTTTCTCTGCAACCGTAAAATTATTAAATGAGCAAGCCAGTTGAACCTAGTAGTGTGTACTTTTGTTGAATTGATGGCTAAGCACTAGGAAATAAATATGGCAGCCAGAAGTAAGGGAAGAGACAGTGAGCAAAGAAAGCATCATAGGGCCCTGAGGTCCATTTGAAATCCTTCCCCATGTAGTCTGTGTCCTTGTGAGGCTCTGGTTTTTGCCTTATTACTGCTCTCTCTGCTCACACCATCCTCTCCCTTGGTGGTCCTTAAGTGTTTCTAGGAGCTGGACTTGTATCCTGGAGCCTGCCCGCCCCCTCTACACTCCATACCTTCATTTTGGTCAGTGTACTCATAGTTTTGGAGACTGCAGGCTCAGAGAAGCTTCTCCAGAGCTCACTGTGTTTGTTCTCCATTATTCTCTCAGGCTATACTTCGTTCTTCAGAGTACCCACACAACTGTTTCAGAATAACTGCATAGCTTATTCACTATACATCCTTCTTTTAGTCTATAAGCTCATGAAGCTCAAAATTGTATTTTGTCTATAGGGAAATGTCTATCCCCAAGCAGTACATGGTATCTAGTAGTTGCTTAATAAATGCTTAAGCTCTCCAATCACTTGAACCTCTTTGGCCACAGTTTCTGTGGCTGTAGGACATGATTCTGAATTTCTGAGGCTGATAATGATTCTTGTCTATGCCCATCATTTATGTATGCAATTCAAAAACAGGCATTTGCCCCACTTTTCATCATTGCTTAACACCCAGCATTCTACTTTGTTTTGCATACTGCCTTCTCAAGCAAGGTTAGGGGCGGGGGGAGTAGCGCTGATCTGCTTATTTTTATAACAAAAAGATTGTCCGTGCATCTATCTATATGAATCCCACTTCTCCATTTCTAGCTTTATAATTTTGGCCAGATAGTTCAAACTTCTGGACTTGAAGTTCTTCCTCTGGAACCTCTCTAGAAATTATTAAAGTATTAGAAGAAAGAACAGGGAAGGATATGTGACATCTTTGCAAAAGGAGACTTTAATGAAGATATAGACAGCAAAAACTGAAAAGAAAAACAAACTTTCATGACATCAAAATTGAACACTTCTGTAAAACAGAATAACAATAAGAAGCAATTAACAGACAGGTGAGAGCCTAGGATAAAATATCTGTGATAAATAAAAGGTGAAATGATTAATAACTGGGATACATAAAATACACTACTAAATAATTAAGAAAAGGAAATCCATTAGAAAAATGGATAAATGATCAGAACACATGGATCCCTGCAGGATCATAAGCATATGAAAAAGCATTTTAGATCACTAGGGAGGTGCATATTCTCTTAACCTCCTCTTCCTCCTCCTCCTCCTCCTCCTCCTCCTCCTCTCCTCCTCCTTCTTTTGTTTCTCTCTCTCTCTCTCTCTCTCTGAAGGATATTGCAGTCCAAGGCATGCTGGCCTGGGTTGCTGGTAGGCTACTCTGTAAAACACTTCTGTGCTTTCATTCACTTAATTTTTTGTTTCCAAGAGCCAGAGGTATGCTAGCTCTCAAACTGGTTTATGTTTGTTGAATATTATTGTAATTATGTAATTTACTTAAATAATATGCAGCCCAATGAAACACCAGTGTGGACAGAGCTGTTTCAGTGAAATTTAAATGGAATGCTTTGAAAAGTCTTGATGAAGGCAGGTTATTAAAAGCTTGCTGTTTAATTGAATTCTGCACTCAGATTCTTTGACAAGATCTTTACTTTCTCACTTCACTTAAGAAACCAGACAGAGGATCTCAGATGTACATTGAGGATGTGCTCAGTGAAGGAGATGCAGGGGAGGCCCTGTGTCACTGGTCCCTTACTGAAATGGAAGCCATGTTCCCATGACAAAAGATGAGAGAAGAAATGCGTGTCTTGGTGTTTTAAAATAAAGTACTGTATTTAGTATGCATATACATTTTCTGTGTCCCTACTTTCATGCACTGAATTGTTAAATTACCAGTCTGGATGGTGTTACTTAATACAACTTATTGTAATTAGGAAAATGCAAATTAAAACCTGATGCCGCTTTTCACTCATTACACTGGCAAAAACTTGAAGTCTGATAATGTCAGACTTTGGCATAGTTGTAGGAAAATATGTATTCACATACCAATGATAAGCATCTCTCAGAGGACAGTTTAGAGGTGTCTGTGTACGTTTAAACATGCAGAGCCATGACCCAGTACTTCCACATTGCATTCCATACCAGGCAGCTGCCCATGTGCATGAGGAAGCTTGCATCAGTCTTATTTACATCAATTTTTTTAAAAGCTTCTGGGTGTGGTGGCACGTACCTTTAATCCCAGTGCTGGGGAGGCAGAGACAGGTGGATCTCTGTGAGATGGAGGCCAGCCTGGCTTACATAGTTCCAGGCCAGCTGGGGCTACAGGTAGATGCTGTCTCAAGACAAACAAACAAATAAATAAATACTAAAAGAAATAGACAAAAGACCTTGACGCCTTCCAGTAGAATAGTAGTTAACCATACTAGGTAACAATTAAAAAGGATAACTTAGAACTGTATGGAAAATCTTGCAAATTTCAGTGTTTATGTAGTATGATTGCCATTTAAGATTTTTGACTTAACCAAAAATAGCAATTGTTTTTACATGAATATCCATGTTTATGCAAAGATTCATAGATATCTCATAAAGCCATCTGACCTAGCAGCATATAGGTTTAGCTACCTGCTTTGCAAATGGGGATGATCATGGAACCCAGTTTAATGAGAAGTTGTGCAGATTACATAAGGTATTAGCACAGTTCCTGGCCAAAAAAAAGTCATTGTTAGCTGTTGTTATTTTACTTTTTAAATGGAATTGCATTGCCTGGGAACAGATGAGAAAGACTTGGTTGTGTTCAAGTGGGATTTTTATCTTCATAATTAATATTTAAATTTTTAATTAAAATTCATTTGTTCTAAGGGGGATAGTAACAAAATTCCAGTTTTGACTACTTTAGAATTGTAGGTGAGATTGTGATCTTTTCTCATTGTCAGATAGAACTAGTTTTAGTCACTCTCTGACATCTGAACTGAAGGGGGCAGCCAGTAGGAGACCTGAGGGTCATTGGGGTTCAAGCCATGGAAGCTAACGGTATTGCACATAAATAATTTAAATGTGTATTATTCTAGACTTGGCAGTATTCAGCTTCCTTTGCCTCTCTTAGTGTCTTAACAAATAAAAGGCATTCCATGTATGGTTTGAAAGCCTTTCTCACTGTTTAAGAAAATAGTCTTGTTTTCTTTAATTTATCTTTTATCAAGACATCCTCCCTTGAGCTCTTCAACCACTGATCCTAGTTTG